AAAGAGTGTTAAAAGCATGAAAGTATAGGAAGTTTGACATTAAATCGTTCAGCAATTTGTAAAATAACAAGAAAAATTCAAACTTTTATACGCGAAAATAACATTTTTTTTTGTAGAATATTAATTCATGAATTTGTAGGTGCGACTAATTATTTTCGAATTTAATTTTTTGAACACAATAATTACTATATTTATATAAGAATTCTATAATCGTCATTACCACTAATTAATCAAAATAATGAGTTGGTGTTAAAAACATGAGAGTATAGGAAATTTGACATTAAATCGTTCAGCAATTTGTAAAATAACAAGAAAAATTCAAACTTTCGTACGGAAAAACAACATTTTTTGGTAGAATATTAATTTATGAATTTGTAAATACGTTTATTTATTTCCGAATTTGATTTTTTTAATACAATAATTACTAAACCGGGTTTGAATATAGAAAATCGGGATTGAGTCGTTTAAACCCGGTTTTCTATATTCAAACCGGAACCGAGTCGCTTAGACCCGACTTTTTTTCTCGGTTTTCTATATTCAAACTGGTTCGTTTAAACCCGATTTCTTTATGACCCGGTTCGCTTGAACCCAATTTATTTATGTTCCGGTTCGATTACACCAGATTTATTTATAACCTGATTCGATTAAAACTCATTTATCTATGAATCAGGACCGGATCTAATAGACCGGTTCTGCTTACATGGCATCTCTTTGCTGGTGAGATTTGATATATCACTCGTCAACTCATTATTTTGGTGAATTAGTGGTAAGGACGATTATGAAATTTTTGCGTAAATTTAATAATTACTTTGTTTAAAAATATAAGTTTAAAAATAAATAAACACACCTATTCAGTAATTAATATTCTCAGGAATTTTTAGGTATTTTCGATTTCATAAACAAAAAAACATGGGGAATATAGTTTTGCATCATTCAAAAACCACAAAAAGAAAGAATTAGACTCCAAATTTGATTGGTGAAACACAGGAAGGGCAAAAATGGAAGAAGACAAACCAGGGATATGTGTTTATATATATACGTGTGTATGTATAGGCGCCGGCGCGTACCGGAGAGAGAGAAGGAGAGATGGGGATCAGTAGTAGTAGAGCTCGAGGCCCATGCCGTCATGGATCTCGTAGTCCTTGAGGGTTGTAGATGGCGTACCATATCTGGATCCGGATCTTATCGGGTCGGATCCCCGTCTGGGCGGCAGCCAGCTTCTTCAGGTCTCGAATGGCGTCGTCTTCGTTGCGCTTCACCCTCACCTTTGTCCCAACCTATCGTTCAGCACCACCTCCATCATCCTTTCGATCTCGACCACGACGCCTCCTCCGACTTCTTCTCTTCCACCGCATTTTTGAATCCCGAGTTTCCAGAGATTTCGTATCCTCCTTTTTATATATCCGATCGGCCAATCAGATTGTGCCACGTGGTATACCTGCTTTTTCTCGATTGAATCAGAGATTTTTTTTTCTTCTTCTTTAAAGAAACCTTGACCCGTATCTCCACAGTTCATAAGTTGACTTCAGCATGAGAACTTTGGATTTCCACGTATATTTTGGAAATAGTTTCCATCTATTTATTTTTCAAAATTGTTTTTATCTTACAAACACAATGTTTTATCACTTTTTATTCTGATTTGGTTTTTTTCAAAAATAAAAAATTTATTTAGTAAGATTTGTTTGTAATATAATATGTTGGAAAGTTAGACAATTGTTAAAAATAAAGTCATTGTCTTCTTTTAAGTTTGGATTTCGTTGAATTTTTCAACTTCGATATATATATAATATAATTTTATTTATTATTTTCTAATATTTCAAACTGATTAGCTTTATTTATAAGAATCGTAATAGTTCTATTACATTCATTTAATCAAATTTAGTTTTGAAATACCTAATTAATATATATATATATATATATACTGTATTTAATGTTTTATATTTTTAACATTAATATTATAAATTTATTTAAAAACTATTATTTTACTGATTTTGATTAAAGATAGTATTAATTCGAATACTCTTAAAAGAAAAAAAAATAAAGTTGATGTAGAATTGATTTAATTATCTTGAAAAATATTGAAATTCTTATTGATCTTGTTCGATCGTTTCACCCAGTTTTTTAAATCCCTTTCAAGTTTCTTGAGAATTCCTATAGTTCTATCATCACCAATCACATTTTGCCACGTGAGCAATTTCGCTTTTTTCTTTTTTAAGAAAATATTTAAAGCAATCCTATGTGTTGTAAATCCACTCGCAGGATTCACGCGTTGCGTTCACGCGCGCTATTTCCCGGGACTATTGTCCAGGGAATTCCCGAGAATTTTGCTTTTTCGGTGCCATAGGCGCGTGGAGAGCAAAATTGTATCATAACTAATCTTCAGCAGCGTATGTTTTGGAGATATCATTTTCTCCAGTATTTTCAATGTATTGCTTTTAAAATTGTTTTTTGACTTCTTTTCTCTTTTTGTTCTTATAAAATATTTTTGTATTTTCACAATGATTATTTATTTCGTAGGACTAACGTTTAATGTATAATAACGCTGGACAAGTCAATCATGGCTAAAAATAAAATAAAACCATTGTGTTTCCTCATTTCACTTTGGACTTCGTCAAATATATATATATATATATATATATAGTATTAATTTTATATTTTACACATTTTTTGTTTTACTAATTGTGATTAAAAATGTTATTGCGCCAAATCATAAATGAAAAAATATATATATACCCAAAAATGAAAATCGCACAATTGATTTGGTTATTAAAAATATCGAAATTTATTGTTATTTATGAGATCTATGAGTTATAACTATACGTGTGTATGTATATATATATATAGAATGTATCTAATTTCTATTTCATATTGTTAGTACTATAAAAATCAACTTCACTTACAAAAATAATATAATGTTATCTGTTTTTATTAAAATTCTTAGAAGCACCGGATTCTTCTAATGAAGGTTAACTGTTTGTGTTACAATTATACAATAGATAATCTTATTACAGAAAATCAGATACGACAAGACGTTAAAACATATTTTGTATATTAAAAAAAAGGACAACAACAAGTGTTACAAAATCGAAGGAACAAAATATCAACGGGAACTTCTGTAGCAAACTGTGAGAAAATCTGTAAGAAGTAAAAGAACAATGTAAAAGAGTCGAGAGTGAACCACTGGTAACTGGTAAGATCTAAAACACTATACATTCTCATTACGGCTTTATTCCACCACCGTCACCTCTTGATCGATTCTCCAGTAGTTTGTGTCGTTGAACTCCTTCTTCTTCTCGCCGGAATTCTCCTTCTCCGGCGACGGGATGGTGGTGGTCCTCTTCATCGGCCCGGCCTCTCCGACTATGCCTTCCTTGAGAGCTTGCTCCATTGCCCTCTCTGTTCCTTCAGGCTCCACCCCTACAAACTCCACTTCCTCTTCAAACAGCGAAGGGACGGGCGGCGATCTCGGGCTCATAATCTCCGACGACCCCTCGGAGGAGGTCAGGCCGCCGTTGGGGATTCTCAGGTCGGACATCCTGCCCTCGTCCTCATCGACAAATGGGTTTGTCAAAGTTTCACCGACCGGAACGGTGGATGAAGAATTTCCCCGTGTTACCCATTCGGTGGATGAGGAGTTATCCGAACTCAAATCTTCATTTCTCGGTGCATCAAACCCGAGATTCTGCTCAACGTTATCGGGATACTTGGTTTCCGCCATTGATCCGTCTTCTGCTCCTGCATTGTTACCATTGGTTGGTTCGTTCAAGCTCACATCCTCCATCGTCTCCTCCAAAGGTGTTATTCTTGTGCTTTCGCTGAACCCATCTTCTTGGAATGTGAACCAGTTTGAGTTTGTGAACAAATTGCTACATCGGGAAGAAGAAAAAAAAGATTCCATCGTTTTCACTCGGACACTTAGAAGCCATAATACAATGTTCAAATAATTCAGAAGCTATACCTCGCCTGTTCATCACCAAGTCTCAAGGACGATATAACGACTTCATCGGATTCATCATCCAAGCGTGTATCCTACAAAATGTGTAAAAGTTTGCAACCAAACCGGTGAAGTCAGCACTGTATTGCCTATACTGTTTATATTGTAGACAAACCCACAATTTTCTCCATTACATAAAAATCAAAGATTCATAACGTATAAATACCTCTTGGACACTGCCATTTGCACCATGACCCTGGAACCAGAAAGACAGGAAATATTAAATCCAGCAAAAGTTTCAAAACAAACAAGGAATTTTCGGATTATAGAGTTGGTAAACTACCTCCTCAGAACCATCGTTCTCAAACATGTTGTATCTGAACTGGTTCAAGTTGTTAGATAGAGCAGCAAGATCATAACTCCTGTCTTGAATATCATCTTCGTCACTCTCCCTAGTTCTATCATGTAACGTGGTTGGGCGGCTGCATGTAACGTAAAAGAATTCATCACAATTTGTAACAATAAAGAATCAAGAGATATATGAAGGTAAAACAAGAGGCATACCCGCAAGACCAGCGGTAGACATTTTCAACAGCATTACGATCTTGCAAAACGTTAGTTTCCCACTCGATCCATTCATTATTTTCCTGAAAAGGAAAGAAAAATGCTTCATGTGACAGATTGTATATATGAAAATAAACATGCAAAGACACAAGCTAACAGGATATGCAACAAAGAAGAGGCTGACCATAGTCTATAACTCTGTGAGTGTATGTGTAAGAGATCAATGCTACTTGACTTCAGTAAGGGCAGTAAAAGGAGTGATATGATATGCTTAAACCAATATATATTCAAAGGGACCTATAATTAGGACGTAAAGGTAATGCAGCAACACAGACATGGGTCATCAAATGCTTGAACTTCTCAAAATATCATTGGTGGTGTGAGTATGTACTGTGCGAAGACAGTGTATATTCACATGGTTTAAGAAAATTCCATCGAGTAACTGCAAAACCAACCTGTAGAAATGTCTTTATTTGGCTATTGCTTCTTGATAATTGAGCAAGCTTGTTTGCGATTCTTGTAATATGCCCAATATTTCCCACTCGAAGCTCAGGTTTCCCAGCAGTGGGTAATGTTGGCTGCATCAATGCAAAAGCGTGTATAGATAACTTAGTACAATTTGTCCATCAACAAAAAGAAAAAAAAACGAGGGGAGAAACCCCAAAGTAGCTTTGGAAACCATACAGAATGGTACATTCCACAATTTCTCTTACTGATACGATGAAAAGGTAGTATATTATTCTCTTCCCAAATTTCATACTTATGTTTATAAGTTCAGTAATCAGTCAATGAGCTTCCCAGTAAGGCCAATATACACGTGTCAGAAAAACTGCACATACCTGGTTATCACCGGAAAGAATTGGTTGTTTCTCTATTTGAAGAATTTTTCCAATCAGATCACACTCTTGGAGGAGATGGTCGACTATGGCATCGTTCTTGCTGTCCAAACACAACGCTATTATACTCTCCACATGATGATGCAATGCATTATTATAAGGGTACCTGCATCATTTTGAAATGAAAAAAAAAAAGAACAAGAACTTAGCCGCAGCAATCCCATCAGCGCAAATACCAAATAACGACAACATGTTGGAAAGAATATTGGTGTGGTCAATCACAAGCATAGGTAAAATCTTACTCAAAGAACAGATCAAGAACTCTTCTGATGGCTCCGGCGGTCACTAGTTCCTTTTCTGTAGCTTCAATGGCAGTTTTCAACAAGACAGTTACGAACTCTACAATCTGAAACAAGACGTCAACAACACAAAACAAATAAAAAGATCAGCAGAGGCCTTACGGAAAGAAGGGTGGATTACTAGACTGTGTGAAAACTCGACATAACTAGTCCAGAATCAGTTATTGGTTCCATAACATGATAAAATCACCTCCAATTGACGCAGATTAAATTTCTCAAAAGCAGACCTGACCTTAAGACGATGACTACCAAGAGGAGGTCTCAACTGCCCATAAGTTGTCGGTAGTATCTTTTCATCAGAAGATACATTCAAAAGTGCAAGTAATTCACCTGCACCAGAGATTTTTACACTTTCAAAAATACAACAAGGGCCTGCAGAGGAAAAGACAAACAAATTCGAAGAATGCACCCAACAAGAATGATTGCTCCAATTTATTCCGCCAGAGAAAACAAAACAAAAAATACTAAAAAGGAAAATAAAAAAGAATCCTCGTACTTCAAAAGTATCCAGAAGTCGCAGTTAAGAAAGTGGAATGAGATTGAGTGAGAAAACAATACAAGATTTCGACAGGCTTGGAAACATGTATTGTCAACTTAAATAAGAGGAAGATGAGAGGAGTATAGAAAAAAAGGAAGATGAGGATAACATTAGCTGAAGGAAAGCAAAACAACAATATGGAAACCGATTCTAACATTTAGTTGTAGAAGGGACCATATATCTTACGATAAAAACAAGTACCGGTTGCAAAATAGAAAAAACAAATTGTTAAAGTATAGAACAAATAGAAAAGTTGATGCAGTGTCGCACTAACCAAGTTTAGGCAGCATGGCAGCAACAGTCTCAGGGTTCACGGAAATTGGGGACTCAAAGAGATGATGGCCTCTAAACGTATACATAAAGGGAGAAGAAACTGCATATCTTCTTGGATCCAACAAAGAAATACACACGGAAAGTGAGTGTACAAGGCAAGATTTGGAGCGGGCATCTTCCAAGGCATGGCCCAATATCCTAGCAACAAAACTGTAGGAACAGATATCCCTTATATCAATTAAGTTACCAAGTAGGTTATAACGAATCGAAGAGGACAAGACACCCTGCAAACCTGGGACTAGACAGTTTGGTAGCCAAAGGTGATGGTGCATTTTGCGTGATCATGCAGAGTGTTTCAGCAGCATTTCCATTAACTTCAGGAGTATTCTGATCCAAGCAGCCAAACAAAAAGATCTAGTCAGATATGTCACCATATCACAGACTCACAGCAGGTCAAAAGTTATGATAGCAAGTTCATGTTTTTTAAACGAAACATAACCATACAATCACAAAATTGCATGTGCACTGTATACAGAGGTTTGGAAGAAGATTATCAACAACTGTGAATTTAAAGATCAAAATCTGCAAGAGGAAGCTATCAATCTCCAACTATTCCATATTCACTTAAGAGGCCAAAAACAAATAATATAGTCAGTTGACAACTAGCAACCACATGAAAGAAGCAACGGATTTCACATTTTATTTTTCATTTTATAATTTTATTTATTTCCTGCAAAAGGAAGGGAATAAAGTTTCCAAAATGATACTTACTAGAGGGTTAAGTTTATCTACAATCATTTCCAGCAGATTGCTATCAGCCAACCAGTGCATCACATCCAGGTGGTTGGGATATACATGATCATCAGCACCAACCAATCGAGTTAGAACCTACATAAATGATATGAATTTCGACTGAAAATTAATAAGCAAACTCAAAGTTCAGGGGAAAAGGGGGGAAGAGAGCGATTATTTACCTCCATTATGGCCGTAATCCCTATCAAATCAACCAGTTGCTGGAAAACATTTTGATGGGCCTGTAAATGGCATTCCAGTGTTAAATGCTACTTTTATATCAATTTTATAAGCCATAATTCACACATTGACAAACTTCAATCAGTAATGCTTTCTGTGCTAATTTCTACTTCTCTGGCATAGTATCCAAAATTTTGGCATAGTTCATATTATGATTATCCAAACAAACCAACTTACTTTGGCATAGTTCATCAGTGGAACCGTCTTCCTCAAAATGAGGCATATGACAACCTAAATCCAAAGAAAGCAAAGTGAATCTTTTGCAAATAACGGGCACATGAGCATAAAATCTCCTGAAGAGCCTAGTAATAGCAGGAACCTCATATGTATTGTACTGTAAATAATTGATCTCAGATTTTAGACTTAAGCAACCAATACATTACCTTGCTGAAATATCCCGCTAGCATTACACTATGAGAACGCTTTGGCTCCAAAAAGGAGAAGAGGAGGTTCATTAGCTGCAAAAGGAAAATGAGAATGCTGCATGAGACCAGATGAAAAGAAACAGAAAGTAATCGTATGCTCAAATTCTCAAAATGAAGAGAGGTATGCTTTCATTAAAATAAATTTACACGTACCTCCTCATCCTCCACTAAAGTGCTAAGAATGACATCTATTTCACATGCGAATACTTCAGAGGAGATGAAAGGGAACCTGATGCATAAACATGCTTTAGGGTCAATTAACACTGTTCAACATAGTTGGGTAATAATCCAAAATCATATCAACAGTATTCTTAACAAGTTTCATCGAACAGTGGGTGAAATTCTAAAGCACTGAAACCACAATGACCATACTTGAAAGCACGCTTGCTATCAGCATCTTCTGCAGCTTCCTCGACAATATAATGTAATAACTGCTCCACTTGGGTTCTTCCTCTCAGACTGCAAATAAGCATATAAAATAAAAAACTTAAAAAGGAAAATATCACTCCCCTCGCTATTATTAGAAACAAATACTTTCGCTGTATTCTATTCGCTTCCTGCAATAAGAAAACATAAAGAAGCATATTGTGATTCTATCTATGTGGTGTGCTATATCTACACGGTCGCATGCCTTCTCAAGGACTTTACAGAAAATGGTTAATATAAATGGCATGAGATAAACGTAATAGTGCAAAAGAAAATATAAGAAATATACACGCATAAACCACGAGTTCAAACGTATGTTAAAAGGGTGAAGCACTGAAGCCTAAATGAATTACAAATTTATGAGCCGGCTGTTTAAAGCTTTGCACTCTTGGATTATATCTTCCTCATCCAGGAGCTCTTCCAAAGTGAAGTCTTCCTTGTCTAGGATAGATTCAACCTGTCATAACAGGCAGAGGATAAGGCAAATGCGATAAAAGCGTAAGTAGAGATTGGCAAATCATCGCAACAACAACAGCATTCCCCAGTTGAGTTCTCCTTCTGAAACTACATCAGCAGTCCTAAAACAAAATGCAAGTGCGAGGTAACTAAAGCACGTAAATTATTCTCTAACACTCGAATCAGGTAAAAAAAAAAAAGAGAAACTTTTAACTCCCACAACGATTAGAACACGTCAAAGAACAAAGATACGAAGTTATTCCACCGCAGTATCTTCAAGGCAAATGAAACAACGCAGAACAATGGATCATCTCCAATTCAAAGCAGCAAAACATAATCTGAAATCGTAAGTCACGTAAAGATGAAACCAAAAACTTTCACATTTTTCATTTACCGTATAATTAAGCCACAAAGACATACACCCTTTATCGTTTCCAATTTCAATTCATCCAAAAATCTGCCAAACAGTATTTCAAAAACGACGAAATCTCAAATAATTCATCATGATTCAGAACAAAACGAGATCAGTAGAAAATATTAAGACGATGACAACGAAAATCAGACAAAGCAACGCCCACTCACCGGCGAAGCGGCAGATAGAGCCGACAACTTCCAAAACATGGTCGAAGACGCAGAAAAAAAAAACAAACGAGGAAAGTTCCCGTTCAAGCTGGAGAAGAAGGGAGAGCAAAGTAGATCTCTCTCCGGACAGAGAAACCAAAGCAGGGGAGTGGACCTTAGAGCCTAAGCCAAAGAAACTCCGAAATTGGGAACAGAGAAAACCCTAATTTGATGAAGGTGACGAAGAAGCCTAAATCAAATAATTTTTAGAAAGCATCGGAAAATCCTATTATTGGAGAGAGTAACGTTGGACAAAAATAAAATAATGATAAAATTAAAAATAGGCCATGGGGCGGAAAGGGAAAGCCTATAAAATATTAATATATTAATGCATAATTAAATTAGCCCAAAAAATGTTTGTATTATATCAATTTACATTGGAAGAAATGAAAAAAAAAATACATGGAAATTTTCGATCCATACGTCAAATATTACGTTATATATTTCAAAACTTGTTTGAAATAAGTACGATGTTTTTTTCAATTTATTTAGTACAATAAATTGGGTATTTTATTTTTAGTATAATAGATTACATTGCAAACTTATAATAAACATCAATATGTCCAATTATAAGCTGCGGCAAAGCAACTGCGCTGAGAAATTCAAATAATAGCCAAAAACAAAACTATAGCAAACTTTTACTAGTAATATAATGATTTAATCAAATATTATTTTATATATTCATTTGCTAGGTCTTATATTAAAGATGTAGTCATGTTTTTTTTTTAAATGTATAATCAATCATATTGTTTTTATATAGTATTAAATCCAATATATATATATACACACACACATCATCAAGTTTCTCACATCCATGTGAGGTTTTCAAATATAGATTTTTATATAAGTATCATTCTCAACAAGCAAAAGAAAACAAATTGTAAAACCCTTAAATTAAATCAGTCAAATGTTTTAATTATAAATAAAAACAAAAAATAAAAGTGGGTGAAAATTGTACGAGAACTGATTTCCTTGAGTATTAGGGTTATCGAACACACATACATATAGGTATAATAAGAGATCTTGACCTAACTATAATATCCTACAATCTAGGAAATATTCCAAATATATATAGATTACAATTAATCACAAATATCACCAATACGCCCCCTCAAGACGGAGCACTGGAGGTGATGCCGATCTTGACACAAAGATCATGAAAAGCCGAGCGAGGAAGAGGTTTAGTGAGCACGTCCGCGAGTTGATCCTTGGAGCTAACATGAAGAACCTTAAGCTTGCCGGATTCCACTTGGCCACGAACAAAGAAAAAATCCAATGCTAAATGTTTCATGCGCGAGTGGAAAACGGGATTGGCACTAAGGTACGTGGCTCCAATGTTGTCACAATAAATGGTCGGGGTAGTGGGAAGAGTGACGCCAAGTTCAGAGAGCAACGAGACGAGCCAACAAATCTCAGCAGAGGCGTTAGCAACTGAGCGATATTCGGTCTCGGTGGAAGATCGAGAATGACCAGTGAGCTTCTTCGATGACCACGAGATTGGGTGTTTGCCAAGATAGACCACATATGCGCCGGTGGAACGAAAATCCCCAGGATCACCAGCCCAATCCGCGTCACTAAAAGCATGAAGACTAACAGCATTATTGGCTGAGAGAAAGATACCCGATGTACGTGTTCCCGCAAGATACCTCAACACTCTCTTGGCCGCAATCCAATGGAGGTCAGTCGGGGCATGCATAAATTGAGAAAGCTTATTCACAGCAAAACTAACATCCGGACGAGTGAGAGACAAGTACTGTAAGCTGCCCACAATCATGCGAAACTCCAAAGGGTCCGACAGAGGCTTACCGGCGGTAAGAGTGAGCCGCGTAGTCGAAGACATCGGAGTTGAAACAGCCTTAGCATCGGACATATTTGTACGGTGGAGAAGATCAGTGATGTACTTTCTTTGACTAAGAAAGAGACCATGAGAAGAGCGAGAAGCTTCAATCCCAAGGAAGAAGGAGAGATGACCAAGATCCTTGAGGGAGAAACGGGCCGCGAGGGTTGAAATAAATTCACCAATCCGAGTTGAGCAACTACCGGTGACAATGAGATCATCAACATACACAAGGACAAGGAGTTGAAAGTCCTTACCACGATGGATGAAAAGTGAAGCATCGGCAACCGAGTTAACGAAGTCCCGAGCAAGTAGAAAGTTCCTCAATTCCGAATACCACGCACGAGGGGCCTGTTTGAGCCCATAGATAGCCTTGCGAAGCTTGCACACATAAGTTGGACGATCCTTATCAATAAAGCCGGACGGTTGAGACATATAGACTTCGTCCGAGAGATGGCCTTGGAGAAAGGCATTGTTAACATCAAGTTGGCGTATGGGCCAACCCTGAGTGATAGCAAGACTGAGCACGAGCCGAATAGTGGGTGGCTTGACAACCGGGCTAAACGTCTCATGAAAATCAATTCCGGGTCGTTGATGAATGCCCTTCGCCACTAACCGGGCTTTGTAACGATCAAGAGAGCCATCCGGATTCGTCTTAACGCGAAAAACCCATTTGCAACCAACAATATTCATGTGAGATGCAGACGGGACGAGCTCCCAAGTGCCATTCCGAACTAGAGCATTAAACTCATCACTCATCGCCAATCTCCAACGAGGATCCTTCAAAGCTTGAGATGTCGTGGCGGGTTCCCTGTGAGAATCCAAAAGAGAAGCTGTTAGAGTAAGCTTCATTACCGGCTTGGTGATGTTGTTCTTCCCACGGGTGACCATGGAGTGCGTGTTTCTCGGCAAGGAGGGAATCGGCGTTGTAGAGGCAGGCGAGGCAGACTCTGACAGTGGCTGGCACACCGACTCTGGAGCAACAGCAAGATCCTCAGGTGGTGAAGGACATACGCTCAGGGGCATAGTCGAGGACAGTGGGACAGGCGTTGGAACGACCTGCGGGCTGTAGGGCTGGACAAGAGAGACAGGAGAACCAAGGAGACTAGGTAAGGGAGACTCAACGGTAGAGACAGGGGAGAACCGAGAAAGGTCAGCAAAAGGAAAGATAGACTCATGAAAAATAACATGACGAGAAACAAAGACGCGAGAACGGAGGAAGTCAAAACAAAAGAAGGCACTTTGGGAAGGAGAATACCCGAGGAAAACACAAGGGGAAGACCGAGGATCAAGTTTATGAGAGGAATAAGGACGAAGCCATGGATAACAAAGAGAGCCAAAAACACGGAGTTTATCATAATTTGGAACCAAACCAAAGAGAGCCGAGAAAGGGGAATTCATGGAAAGAGTCGGTGTTGGTAGGCGGTTAATGAGATACACGGCCGTGGAAAAAGCAAATGACCAAAAGGACAGGGGGAGAGAAGCACGATGAAGCAAAGAGAGACCCGTTTCAACAATATGTCGATGTTTACGTTCAGAGATGCCATTATGCTCGGGAGTATGAGGTGGAGTGGTATAATGAGAGATGCCATGAGAAGCAAGAAAGGAACGCAAAGCAATGAACTCACCACCATTATCGGAGTAAAGGGATAGAATTTTGGTTGAAAAACGATTTTCCACGAGGTGTTTAAAGGTAATAAACGTTTCACGAACTTGAGATTTTTGTTTGAGAGGATATAACCATGAATAGCGGGTAAAATGATCCACAAATAAGACATAATATTTAAAACCGTCCAAGGACATGACGGGAGAGGTCCAGACATCCGAAAATAATAATTCAAGTGGTCGTGAAGAAGAAACCGAAGAATGATGAAATGGTAGTTTATGACTTTTATTACGTGAACAAGAATCACAAAATAAAGAAGGAGAATCCCGAGACAATGGCAAATTAAACGAAGAAACAACATGTTGAAGAATCGGAAAAGCGGGGTGACCTAAACGGGAGTGCCACTCGGACAAAGTGGACTTTTGACTCGATAAAACAAGAGGAGAAGCAGTGGGAGAGGAGACCGGCCATTCATAGACGCCATCCCTAGTCCGTCCTTTTAGAATCGACGCCCCCGTGCTTAGGTCCTTCACCTGAAACGAGTGTGGAAAGAATTCCACCGAGACATTATTAGAATTGCATAATTGTGAGACAGAGACAAGATTCTTATGCATAGACGGCACACAAAGCACATTGTCGAGAGATAATGTACGAGAGGGAAGAGCGACGGAGAAAGAACCCGTATGAGATATGGGTAAGCCCGAGCCATCACCAAGAACAACATCATCACCACCTTGGTATGGATTGTGCATAGAGAGATTATGCAAGTCGGAGGTGATATGATGAGAAGCACCGCTATCAAGGAGCCATTGAGAAGAATCATAGGGCGACATCATGGTGTGATTCGCACGAGGCTGCCAAGGGCGAGACTGCGACTGCCACTGCGGTGGGTGCGACGAGGAACCACCAGGAGTGGGAGATGCCGAAATAAGTCGGAACTGACTGCACCTCTGAGCGCTATGACCATGAACTCCACAAGCTTGACACCGACCCTGATATCCTTTGGAGGATCCGGAAGAAGAGCGATGCCATGTATGTCCGCGGCTAGGAGCAAAGCCACGATAGTGAGGACGAGACCGAGAGGCAGCGACATTGGCGGTGACAGGGAAAGGCACAGACGACGGTGCAGCAAGGGAGGTGAGTTTAGCCTCATGGTTAATCAGCTTCTCATGGAGTTCCTCAAGTGAAACAGCAACATCTTTGGCCTGAACAATATCAACCACGGGCTTGTACTCTTCGGGTAGGCCGGAGAGAATAGCATCAAGGAGATCTTCATGATCGAGAGGTTTCCCGAGGATGGCCAACTCATCAGATTTGGTGGTGATGAATCGAATGTATTCATCAACCGATTGCGTGCCCTTCACGCAACGTTTGATTTGATCCCGCAATTGGAGGAGATGACCTCGGGAAGCCTTGCCGTAGATGTTGGCGAGTGTCTTCCAAGCTTCGCGAACCGAGGATGCACGAGCCACAACAGGCTGTAACGGGAGCGAGATGGTGCCAAGTAATGCACTGAACAGCAGCCGATCTTGCTGTTTGAAAGAGACAAAGGCAGGATTATCGGTTGGAACACCGTCCTGGTCAAGCTTCGCCGGAGGGACTGCGGTATCATCAAGGATGAAACAATCCAGATTGTGTCCTTCAAGGAGAGCACGAACTTGGATGCTCCATGTGACATAATTGGAGGAGATGAGCTTAGTAACATTCGACATGTTGATGGTGAGGAGAGTTGTGGCCGGTGCAAGAGGATTAAACGTAGCAGCAGATTCGGATGATGAA